CTTCTTCTCCCTCTGATAGCTGCTACAATGTGACTATATAATTTCAGCTGTTGCCTGTACGTCTACAAAGGGAAGCTGTCTGCGAACTAGCAACTGCGTAGTAGCACAATGAACTTGTACAATAAACTTGATGTAGTATAATCTTAATATCGCAGCAACCTCCTAGTAAATATCACTTGTAGCCAAACTGGTGCTGGTAATAAGGTTCTGGAAGAACAGCTCCAGTCCTGATTGCAGCTTGACTCCTGAGAAACTGTAAACTTGAGAAGGACAATTCTCCCATTGAATATTTCTATACAAAGCACTTTGCAATTCATAAGAATTTGAGAGAATGCAACCAAGTCAGAGGAGGTTAGTGTGATTTCCTGTGGCTGAACTCCCCTTGTGGAAAAATGAGCACAGCACTGTATGAGCAAATCAGACTGTCCCTTGAAAGAGCATTTTGTGGTTAATTATGAGCTTATGGTGTGCTGTAACACCCACCTCCACAATCTGTCTTGTAATACTACATCTGTGCCCACCATTCTACATTGAAGTAGGCATTTTGAGGACAGGCCCAGGATCTGAGGCATTCAACATTTAAAGATTAAGAGATGTATATTCTGCAAGGAAGAAGCACGCAGGCAGTCTTCAAACACTTGACTGAAAATTATAACAGTATTTAACATTCACGAGATTAACTTTGAATGTACATTAAACAATCCAACTCAAAAGCTCTTCCTCAAAACAATATATACTGTTCACTACTTTAGGACAAACATATGTCAATTTAAATAAACATTAATCTCTATTCAATTCTCCAAGAGATCCATATTCTACCCATAGACACAACAAGGAAGAAAGTGGAATTTTACTCAGAAAAAGACATTTCATGAAGAAAACTATTCTTGATTTGCTTACTAAGCCAGTTTATGTTCCTTTTTTTCCCATAAAATGAACCATGAAACACTGAACTATGAACTGATTCTTTGAAATTAGTTCAAGAGATATAAAGAGATTCAAGGTTCAACATTTGTTACTCCAAGTGCAGAGCTACAGTATGTTACTGAAAACAGAGAATGTGTATCAGGTGATATAGTGATCATTGTATTGTTTTCCTAACAATCCAGTCTTTTTTATATCAACATTTGTTCCACAAATTAGGAATGTACTATTTTTTAATCCCCTGAAAGAGAAAACCCTGCCTAATAACTCCCTCTTAACGATGTAAGCAGCAGCAGCAGGCTGTGTTGAGTGTCCAGGTGGTCCTCATGATCCTCCCAGCTCAGGGACTGTGGGGAAAGGCCTGTGATCATCAGCACTGTTGAGAGTTTAGAAATACAATCCGAAATCATTGGAAAACCAATCCTTCTTCCATCAACAAATATAAAAACAGACACAGTGAGAAACTGATTAGTTCTTCAG